ACAATTTTTACGCTATTTGAGTACGAGGGACGGCCATTTTGTCTGTCAGTTTTTGTCCGATTTTTAAGAAATTCGAACTCAACCAGTCTTAGGGTGTAACGGTGATATATTCAAACGGTTTTTTAAATCCGATAAAAATTATGACCGCTATAGGGTCCACAAGCTAAAAACGCGATTTTTCGTACAATCAGGGCCTTTAATTCAGGAAGATTTCGTATCAGTTTTTTCCTTGGGTGACCTGATAAATTTTACCTACACATAGGTTTTATCAAAACACCGCATAATACAGCTTGGGACACCGGTCTCCATTTCCAGATGAAGATTGGCGGGTTTAAGTTGTTTGAATACGTATCACATATATTAAGTTAGTTGCTCGGCAGGTAGTGGATTTTAACACAAAATTAAGCAGTTTTATTCTCCAAAATATTATATTGAGTCAGTTGCTCGGCCTGAAGGACTTTTAAGGGCTTTTAATACAAAATTAAGCAGTTTTATTCTCAAAAACACAATCGAGATTGGCTCTTTAAGTATTTGGAATGTGTCCCTTTTATTTTGGCATTGTTTGTTCACCTCATTAATTCATATAGTCTGAAACTGACTGAAGTGAGCACTTTATTTTGTAACCGATTTTTTTTCCCTCAGGGTAAAAACATTTCTTAGACCAACATATCCACAACAGAGAGAGTGAAAAACATTTTTTCAAACATGACAAGTTGACAAGGTTATTTTGTACTATAGTTTTGTGTGAAGTATGCAATTTAGGTGCACGGATTCATATATTAAGTATTGGAGATTTCCCCCTCGAGGGAAACATACGCACAACAGAATAAGAGTGAAAAACATGATAAGATGACAAGGTTATTTTATACTATAATTTTGCGTGCGTAGCGTGATGCATGCAATTCATGTGCACGAATTCAGTTGATTTTTTTTTTATTTTATAGCTTTGCGTGATTCGCGTGACGTATGCAATTTAGGTGCACGGATTCTATTTTGGCAGCGTCTGTTTACGTCATTAATTCATTTAGTCGCCGATGCACCCCAACCTCCCACATTTACGTCCCTGCATATATTTCAAGTTTCGTCGAAATTGGATTAAAAACTGTAACCTACGGTGGCTGATAAGGGACATGAAAAATAATATAATTTGGTTTTTTTAATATTTACCCAAGTCAATTTTAATATAATTTGTTTTTTATAATTCTCACCCAAGTCAATTTTAATTTTCACCCAAGTCAATTTTAATATAATTTGTTTTTTAGAATTTTCACCCAAGTCAATTTTAATTTTCACCCAAGTCAATTTTAATATAATTTGTTTTTTATAATTTTCACCCAAGTCAATTTTAATGTAATTTTTTTTATATAATTTTCACCCAAGTCAATTTTAATTTCCACCCAAGTCATTTGTAATTTAATTTGATTTTTAAAATTTTCACCCAAATCAATTTTAATTTTCACCCAAGTCAATTTTAACTTTTCACCCAAGTCATTTGTAATAAAATTTCAATTCTGTTGAATTTCAACCCAGCGCGTGATGTCATCTCAATTAGCCTCGTTTCCAAAACACTAATTTTCGCCCGCCATTGGGAAAATAAACGTGCAGGGGTCGACACAGTCTTAGTCGGGATCTGACAGTGAAACGTATTGAAATAAAATGAAATGGGGGTTTAACGTTCTACTCTGACTGGGTTACTGAATGCAGTATGCCAAAAGTACGGCGTACGGTGGCTGATAAGGGACATGAAAAATAATATAATTTGTTTTTTTGAATATTACCAAATCAATTTTAATATAATTTGTTTTTTTTTATAATTTTCACCCAAGTCAATTTTAATATAATTTGTTTTTTATAATTTTCACCCAAGTCAATTTTAATATAATTTATTTTTTATAATTTTCACCCAAGTCAATTTTAATTTTCACCCAAGTCAATTTTAATATAATTTGTTTTTTATAATTTTCACCCAAGTCAATTTTAATATAATTTATTTTTTATAATTTTCACCCAAGTCAATTTTAATATAATTGATTTTTATAATTTTCACCCAAGTCAATTTTAATATAATTTTTTTTTATAATTTACACCCAGATCAATTTTAATTTCCACCCAAGTCATTTGTAATTTAATTTTTTTTTATAATTTTCACCCAAGTCAATTTTAATTTCCACCCAAGTCAATTTTAATTTTCACCCAAGTCATTTGTAATATATTTTCAATTCTGTTGAATTTTCACCCAGCGCGTGATGTCATCTCAATTAGCCTCGTTTCCAAAACACTAATTTTCGCCCGCCATTGGGAAAATAAAAGTGGAGGGGTCGACACAATCTTAGTCGGAATCTGACAGTGATACGTATTGAAATACAATGAAATGGGGGTTTAACGTCCTACTCCGACTGGGTTACTGAATACAGTATGCCAGAAGGGAAATTTCCCTCGGTCAGCGGCACGACATGAAATTTCAACTGTCAAGAGTTATTTTATATATACATTCTCGCCAATGTACTACTACTGTGACTAGGGGCCTGGGTATTGATATAGGCATGCACCCATCATAGACAACGCTACCGAACATCCAGACATAGAATTTAGCGCAGAGATAACAAAAAACAACTTGGCCTATGTGCACTAATGAATGATGGGTCACACGCATGGATCTTGACCTTACTACTGGAAACAAACACAGATAGTCCGGTGGCTGAAGGGGTGGAATCGCCACCCGAGCTGTGAATTTATGAGACCACGTTTTTCTAGACCAGTTTTTTGCGTAGATTCCGAATCTGGGTGGTGATCAGGCGTTCGAGGGGGCGTTTTCGAGATATAGGGGGTCAAATGTCTACAATGGGGGGGGGGGGGGGGGGGTGATGTCATTATGTTGACATAATATGTTATGAAAACATAAATTTCTAGGACTGCCCATCTATAAATAAGTGTTTATGATGCCCCTGGACAACTGTTTTGATTTATGGGGAGATGGGGTTGGGGTAGCAGATGTGCGCGTGTGGAGGGGTGGGGTGGGGATAAAATTGGCGGGGAAATGAGTTCACGTTGATTTAAATGATGATTTTCTAAGAGCTTGATGAAACATCTCTAAATATGTTGATAAGATTCCTATTGTATGGGGGTGGACGCCAAGGTGAGTGCCCGTCGTGGGGGGTGGGGCGGTGCGGGTGATGGCGGGTGGCAACATGTATTTTTATGGACAGAAATCATTTCGTTCATAATTGAGCTTAAAGTGGTATCTCGTTAGTGTTTTCATTCAAAATATTAAATTTTCAAGAGATCTGGAAGTGTAAATCAAAAACACATTAACTCAGAGAAATGTTTAGTTGTTAGTTTATTCTTTGTCTTCATCAGAAGATTCAAAATCAAAAGTTCATATGAGCGAGATAAATATTTTTTTGGTTGCTGGCCAACAGCTCGCATATCCTTTGGATATGCTTCAGAAACAAATTCACGTCGTAAATCTTCATTCCAGCCATGCAGCAAAAGACCACGTATACGGCAAGGTGGTAATAAAGAAAGGTCTGTTATTTTTTCACCCAGAAAATCGTTTTTCTAGCGTCATCTATAGTGATGCAAGTCGTCTTTCGCGATATTTTCTACCTTTGCCCGTCTCATTATCGATCAAAATTTGTATATTTGGATCATCGTTTGCGAAGAGAATGATTTGGATGTCTATTTCGCCCGAGCAAGAATGCAAAATACAATTTGTTTCGGCACCTCCATTAATTTGCAATGCAAAGAGGAGTAGGTAAGATATTTTGGTGTCCTCGTGGTTGGTTGTCAGTTCTAGGATATTCTCGACACTTTCAATACTAATCTTGAAATTTTTTGATCCAATCAAGATTAGTATTGAAAGTGTCGAGAATATCTCGGGCTCTCGGCCTACATGCTTTCAGTGGTAATGACTATCTGTCGTTCTTTTTCAAGATAATCCCAACTTTCTAACAATTTTTAAAGAGCCGGGATAGACAAACGATGCTTCTGATAACGTAATTGCTGGTTTAGAAAAAATTGTTTGTACATGTACCTTGTACGGCGAAAACCGACTTACATCAGTAGATGACACTAGGAGAAGGATCTTCTGGAGAAATTTTAATTGTGATGAAAAATAACAAAACTTTCTTTCTAGTCCGGTGGCTGAAGGGGGGGGGGGGAATCGCCACCCGAGCTGTGAATTTATGAGACCAAGTTTTTCTAGACCAGTTTTTTGCGTAGATTCCGAATCTGGGTGGTGATCAGGCGTTTGCGGGGGCGTTTTCGAGATATAGGGGGTTAAATGTCTACAATGGGGGGGGGGGGGTGTCATTATGTTGACGTAATATATAAATAAAACATAAATAAGTGTTTATGATGCCTCTGGACAACTGTTTTGAATTGTGGGGATGTGGGGTGGGGAAAGCAGGTGTGTGTATGTGGGGGGGGGGGGGTCATTATGTTGACATAATATATTAATAAAACATAAATTCCTAGGACTGCCCATATTTAAATAAGTGTTTATGATGCCCCTGGACAACTATTTTGATTTGTGGGGAGGTGGGGTGGGGGTAGCAGGTGTGCGTGTATGGATGGGGGGGGGGGGTACAATTGGCGGGAAGTTCACGTTGATGATATTTTTAGAGCTTGGTAAAAACATTACTTTTTAATTCCACTGCACATCTCTAAATATGTGTATACGATTACCATTGTATGGGGGAGAGTAAATGTATTTTGGGGACAGAAACCACTTGGTTCAAAATGGACCTGAAAAGTGTTTTCTCGAGTTTTCTTTCAGTGCCAATATCGTCATTCAAAATTATAATGGCACTTTTCGAGAGACCTGGAAATGTACATAAAAAAACACATTCTAATAATATGAGTGGGATAGATATCTTCTTGATATGCGTATATCCTTTTGATATGCTTCAAATACTTAGCAAACGGCTGCACGTTCTCACATGCCAATAGCGGAAGTTTATTGACATGCTTTAAAATCACCCAGGGGTAGATAATTTAGTGATAATGCAGGACCCCGAGATTATAGGCTTAAACATTGAATATAAACTGCGTTACAATCCCGTTGAACGAGTTGTAAACGATCGTACGCCTTTCAACACTTGTAAGGAATGTCATCAGTCTTGTACAACAAGGTAAAGTCATAATTCTCACTTAAAAATATCAACCTTATTAAATACAGAGCGGGTGTAATGGTATTGGAATGGAATCATTATATTTTTAAAATAATGGTCATGTATTCAGTAATGGAAGATTTCAAAAGTTATAATGAGTATTAGAAATTTAACTCCAAATATTATGTAATGGTCAATTACATTTCAATTACTTTTCAATTACATTTTATGGCACATACATGTGCCAACTATGTCAAACAAGAACACAAACAATAGTCATCAATTGCTGAGCCATTATACACAAAATTAGCGGATGGTCGGCCGTTGTACCCGATACATGACCTATAAACATTATGCATCACAATGTGTAATACTTGTTACACCTACAGCGCCTTCATCAGGCCTGTGGTGAAATCAAAATAGTTTTTCGTTATGAAATTAACAGATTTAAAAAAAGCATCTTAAAAAGTTACGGAAAATGATTGAAAAAGTATGTTCGTTGGACTTTTAATTGCTGTCAACTACTGCCATTAGTTGTAAAATGTTATTTTCTTAGAGCCAAAATAGGGGTGTTCTTACGGACCATGGCAATTCTTCTTTCAACACCAGTCTTTAAGGTAAACAAAGCATGTGTTTCATAGTGACAATGTTTATCAACTATATATTTACATAAATATTACACGTTTTGGTACCTAAATGCAACTATAATTATTTTCTAATATATTACCCAATGATTTATGTACAAAACCCCCCAAAAAAACCCAATCAATATATATCAGTTATAATTGAAAGTAAAGAATTAAAAGTGTTATGATTTGTAGTCTCGGACAACTAAACCTGGTACATTTTAGACGTCTTGGTAACCAAGACTATGTTTGCAGGTTTTCTACCATACACCATCTTGAAAATTAATGTTATTTTGTAAGACATGTAGATAGATATTGTTATGCTTCACAATGTGAAACGTTTGTTGTAACTTCCATACTCATGTCTGTACATGCAGTTGTGAATAAACTGTTATTATTATTATTATTATTACAGGCCGCCGCCATGTTAGACACGCCACCTGTTCGTAATCATGGCAGTAGGTTTCAGTACCATCCAACATTGATTGTTTTTCAGAGTAAATAAATATAAATGCACCATAAAATAATTTACATATTTGAAAAGAGCAATGAACGTGCTTTTCAGTGATACGTAATATGATATCTGGAATTTTGTATTAAGACCCGTATTTTTTAATTTAAATACCCCTATCCACGTCAAATAATACGAGTTTCGTACCACAGTGGACTTTCATCGCTTTTCAAGGCAAAAAAAATTAAAAAAAATGAATTTACGTAGGTCTCGAAATGTCGCGTCAGCATATAACCTATATAACTTATAATTTTCCACGTCAGACGTTATCCATGTAGGTACACAAACATGATGCAGCTATATAGTTCGCTTATATAAATAAATATAATGGTATTTTTTTTTTTAAATCACATAAACTATTCGTGTATTATTTTTTCAATACGCCGGGGCACAGATAAAATAGAGTTTGCACAATTATGAATCCAGATATAATGGGGAGAATAACCCGCGTAGATGTTTTTGATGAACCGTTCCTTAATGTCATCGATATCTAACTCGAAAGTATAGTTAACGTTCATTTGGACCCGGAGAAAACCCACGAGATTGGACAGGCGACCCTACTCCTTGTCACGTACAACCGGGGAATCATTGACTCAATGATGACAGACTTTATGATACAGCGCGCACGTGCTTATCATTCAGCCATCCACTCCCCCCCCCCCCCCGTCTAATAGCAGAAAATGACCGTTCTGCCTCACAACTTGTCACTGATTGGTAGCAGTCTACATGTATATATATTATTGGGGAAATTATCTTTGGAACACTGATTTTGATTGAGCGACATCAGTTGCCGTAAAACATGTATCGTCAGGGAACCAGTCGGTCAACCAACAACGGACATCAACAATATTGCGTAAATAATACTCCTTTGGGGTTGCGGAGGGGTTTGTGGCTCTGTGAATCGTTAGCTCTTTTCATATTTTCTTCACAAGATAACTTCTCAGTCAAATCCTATATCTCACTGTACCATGAATCGTATATTTTATCTATTTCTTCTCTCGGCATTCTGATATCTGCTCTCGATTCTTTGATATTTTTATATGAACTGTAGATGTCTAATTATCCCTAATCGGTGCTAGAACCGTCTTCAGTGTTACTAGATTTAAATAGTTTTTCGAATACATCTAGCCCACTTTTCATCAATCAGTGCAAAGATCTCATCATTCCTGTACAGATGTAGGGTGACCCGTGCACCCAAAATGTTCCGCACAGAAAGTTGATCTCGACACGGCGAATGTACACGCTTCAGTGGCTTGTCTCGAAGTGATTTCTCGCTTACTACGTACGCACTATCATAAGACTCAGCGGTAGGGTCGATGATACTATAAATAGCCATCGCACGTGCAATTCTCTACACATCTATCAACTATTACAGCCGTAGGCTTAATAATATATTGTTGACGATTCTGAATAGCAGTAATATTTAGCTTATTGGTTATTACAGCAACTCTAGAAATTACGGTCGTTTTATCATTAACTGTACCGTTAGGAGCGGCATCTTTTGGTTTAGTACAAATAATATCTCTGAAATACTTGCGTTGGGCAAGAACATGATACTAGCAGTAGTTTCATTTTACTTTTACAGGGTTCTTAAAACAATTGTTGAGTTGCCCAAAAAACGTGCAAGTTTCTAAATTCAATTTCTTGTTCCAGCTTTCTGCTATGTTTCGTAAAAAAAAGTAGTCTTGATTATCCCGGCCTGTCAATGGCCGGTAGACAGGGCACGTAATCTATTTTTTACTCACATGTGGAGGCAGACCACCATTAAATTTCACCATCTCGGTACCCACGAATTGTAGTTCGTCTATTTATAGCAATTCTCTCCCTCTCTCTCTTTTCTCCCCTATTGCATGCCCATTTTTGTTGATTTTTTGGTCTAGAATGGACGAAGAGGGTTTGAATTAACATTTTCTGCCAGGTTTTGGTAAATATTCATGATTTTGAGGCGGAAGGATAACAGGGTTATCAGGTTGGCTACGGCGATATGTACGGCAACTAGTTACATGTTTTTAGTATGCTTCTTCAAGTTTGTGTATCTCAAAATTTTGGTGGTCAACCTCATACGAGGGGTGATTGATAAGTAGTTAGCCTAACACAGAAAGAAAAAAGAAATTCAAATCAAATGCATTTATTTTTCAACATAGACCCCTTTCAATGTAATACACTTCTGCCATCGGTGTTGCAGAGCCTTTATTCCAGTTCTGTAGACGTCTTTGTCTTGGGTGTGTAGAAAATCATCCACAGCGGCAATGACGTCATCGCCAGACGGGAAATGCCTACCGGAAAGACATTTCTTCAGAGCAGGAAACAGATAGAAGTGTGAGGGAGCTAAATCAGGAGAGTAGGGTGGATGCTGAAGAAGTTGAAAACCACAGTCATAGATTGCTGACATGGCAACAGCTGATTTGTGCACTGGCGCATTGTCTTTTGGTCTTAATTTCTTGCCTCAACTGCCTTAAAAGTGCTGCATAGTACACTGAAAAAAAACTTGTGTTGAAACAACACAAACTTTTCAACACAAGTTAGGTGTCTCTATTTAACAACACAATCTTGTGTTAAATGTTGAAACAACACAAAACTTGTGTTAAATGTTGAAACAACACAAAACTTGTGTTAAATGTTGAAACAACACAAAACTTGTGTGAAAATCTACATATTATTTGTGTTGAAATTTCTGAAACTTGTTTGTGTTGAAATTTCTGAAACTTGTGTTGAAATTTCTGAAACTTGTGTTGAAATTTCTGAAACTCGTGTTGTTTCGTACAAACGTATGTATAACAAAAACTTGTGTTGTATTTTACCAATTTATATCCAGTATAACAACCTTTCGAATGCAACCCCTTCCATTCGTTCTGTTTAAACTGTAATTATTGATAAATGACATAATAATTTTGTTTGTTAAATTATTATTTATTCAATAAATGATATGAAAAAATAAATTAATGCCTAATTAATACCAATACAGACATCCCGAAGGTTAATAAACAAAGTTAATTCCAATACTAATAAAATTGTGTTATACAATGAAAAAATACCCCCCCCCCCATTCCCAATTATTAAATAAAAAGTAGCTATTTAAATTGAAAAATAAAGCACCGAGACATTTGGAATATTAATCAAAAAAGTTAATTTCAATACTAATAAAATTGTGTTCAATAATAACAATATCCCCCCACCCCTCAAAAAAAGCTATTTAATTTTTTTTTACAATTAACCTTAAAAAGAACTGAGAATATAATATATATGTTCACAATATCCCTACCCCATGGTCCCAAAACATGCATTTTAAATATATCTAAATTTAATATCAACCAAACCAAGCACTAAAGACATTAATAATGCACTAAATTGAAATACTTTTAAGAAAAAATAGTCCCTTTAACAGATTAGGAATTCAAAATTTTCTACAGTATATAAATGGGAACTAATAGATAAAGCACAGGCAAATAATTATAGATAGATAAAATAAATATAGCATAAAAATCAAACAAAATGGAGAAAATTAAAAATTTGTAAAACAAAAATTGATTAATTAATAAAACCATTTATTAACATTCGAAATGTTCACTAAATGTTTAAAAATAAAGGTTGATTTCATCCTACAATAATACATTTTTATAATTATCGAATGTTACTATTAATTATTGATGATCCCTCTATATTATTTCAAATTTTCAGGCCAAATCTTTAGTGTTTAGGATTACACTGCATTCTATATAATGAAACAATATTAGAGATGGTTTGGTATTTGACATTAAAAACAAAAATGTGATTAAAAAGGCAATGGTGACATATAACTTTTGGGTTTCCACAATAAGATCTGTAAAAGAATTTGATGACTTTATATTCAGAATTTAGAGTTGTTTTCTTTCTTTGGTATTAAT